GGGGGGGGGGGGGAAGAAACCCCATGGCAACGAATACACGTGCAACAACAGAAGAAACTGCTGGAAATGGTGTTTTATATGTGGTCTGTTCCGAGATGTTATAAGGACAACTGGAGCAATGGCATGAGTGCAAAAGCTGAAGAATCTCCACTGTTAGAAGCCATTACCAGGAAATGACCAGTGAAGACACTGCAGGCTTGAAAAGAATTTAAGTGTGTGCTCTAGTGATCTGTGAAGAGTGGAGATTAGCAATGGCACCATAAGGAATTTTATTTATGAGTTGTGTGTTAAAGTGTTCAATAAATCCACTCTCCAATCTAAACTGTGTCTACAGTCACACAACACTGTGGCAATATAATAAAAGAAATAAGCTGGAAAGATGCAGTGAAACATAAATAAAACAAAAAACTTGAAGACAGCAAAATATTTTTTTTTAAATTTAGATTCAAGTAAGTTCTACAAATATATATCAATAAACAGTAAACAAACATGCATGTCACAGTTCTGATCTCTGTAGCAGCCTGCAGATTTTCAAGAGCTCAGAGAATTTAGTGCTCATAATTCACTGGGAGCTGTCTATATGAATTCTGCAGTGCATTAATTACATGCATGCATATAACTACATTACAGAAAGCTTCACTAATGAACAGTAATCTATAAGTACTGAGAAGCACATCTAATGAACTGCATATTTCCATGTGTTATCTGGTCACCAGTTTGATTAAATACAATCCAAGAGTTCTCAGTATATTGGTTTGAAATTAGCTGCAAGGGAAAAAATCTCTGGAAATAATATAGTTAATTATCAGTGTTTCTAGTTCTTTACTAATACATAACACAAGCTTACAAGAACATAATTCACCTTACATGCAGCATGAACCAACAGATTATTGTGCTCTGCAGTTGTGACTTTGAAATCAGATCAAGTACCTTGGCCTGCAGGTCCCAGCCTACAATGACACCTTTGTAGCCCAGTGTACGATGTTTGACTACTTGTCCAATTCTGTAGCGTAAGTGAAGTGGTCGTTTATTTCGCACCTCTAATGAGGTGGCAAAGTATCCAGCTTTCTCCCTATATTTTAAAACTTCAACAGCTGGAGACTCATCAGCATGTGTGCTGGTGAAATCGTCTGGCTGAATGACAGCTAATTAAAAAGAGAAGACAAATAAAATGGTAACACCCCTAGAAAAGATCAATATTTGATTTTCACAACATGAATAAAACTCAGTACAATATATTCGAAGATGGTTGTGAAACATGTCCTCAGAAAAACATGATTTATAAATTAACACAATTATTATCATCAACGCTGTCCACTGTCATGAGCTTCTTCAAACATTCTGGAAACTGGATCCATTTCCATCTTCAGGTATAAGGAGCAAAAGGTTCCTATTTAGATGGATCCATCAGAAAGAGCTATTCCTGATAACAGGCCACCACAAGTAGTTCCAAGCAGAGCACACATTCCACTGAAGTTAAATATCATCAACAGGATATAAGTACAAAAAAATTAAGGGGGGGGGGAAAGCAAAAACAAAACAAAGCTGAAATCCCACAACAATCAGGGCGAGAATCCATCAAGCAGTCACTAGGAACACAAATAAAAACATGACAAAACCAATCAGTGCATTGCTGAAGGACATAAATTACATGAAACAACATGAAAATATAGGGCAAGATTAATTTGAAATGTCTTGTAACATCCTGATCTCACCACTGGTGAGTGGAAACCAAATTTCATATTTATACCAGTCATTAAGCATTACTAGTGAAGTAAAATCAACTTGAAGAAAGCAGTTTTCTGGGATTTGGCACCGTGTATATGTGGTGTTAACCGACGTTTTGGAGGAACGTATCGCCTCCATCTTCAGGGTAGAAGGAAAAATATAAGAAATCCGCAAGCGACGAGACCGTGAGAACCGGTAAAAGCAGATTGGTTTTGGAAATATACATATATACGTTCCTCCGAAACGTCAGTTAACACCACATATACACGGTGCCAAATCCCAGAAGACTGCTTTTTTCATAGTCACCGCCGTGAAAGCCTCAAGTCTAAAATCAACTTGTTTGTGATGGGGAAATAACAAAAGCATACAAATTATGGTGGGGAAACTCATCAGGAAACAGCTATTTGGAGACAAAGGAAATGGAAGAATAATGTTATGATGAATATTAAGGAAACAGATTTTGAAGATGGAAGCTAGAAAGAACAAACAGAATTGTCACTGCAACATATGATGTGATATGAGGAAGGCAATGTATGTGTGTGAAGGATACTGGACATACACAAAAAGGTCGCTACTGCAGCAAACAGAAAATAAATCAATAATGCAGTAAAAAAGTTTCCGTTTCTCTTTCTAAAATAATAAGATTGATGGTACTTAATATGAAATGTTCTCTTGCTTATAGAAAACCAGGGTTAAGCAATAACCATGGTCTTATCCCACATGCAAGTATAACATGAAATATTTGTTGATTCTTCAAGTGCACATACTACGGTTAGAGCACCTAATGGTATGACTCTGTAGTTTTCAGTCGTAAAACTCTTGATGTTTTCCACTACCTCTGGTGCACCATTTTGTCTTCTGCTGTAATCCAAACTGATCATCACCATCATTGGCAAAACATCCCTTTTTGAGCTATAGCGTTCCTTGGAACATTCTGCCAAATCACATCTGGGTTTCATTTCTTTGGATTTTAGAACAATAATTTGTTTAAGAGAGCAAGGTCATTACCCTTGCATCCAACATGGAGGACCAGGTCCCTGGCACCCAGTGATAAGGTGGTCCAGTTATAACCCCCAGGCACTGGTTTCCCATTTTTCTCACCTTCTACAACTTGCAGGGTTAAAGTGGAGGTATTCTAACCCACATCCACATGGGGCAATCTAAACTCATAGGTATGCCAGATGCAGACTACTCATCTAACCACAAGGGCACTTCATGACATTTTCTTTTAACATTAATCAAATTGATCCAAACTGCAAGAGTTCTGAATGATATGGAAAAAAAAAACAATGAATGGTGAATAGATAAGGCTTTGGAATGAGACACTGGGGTCTATTTGAAGCTACTATTTCAGCATTTGCCTGTGGTGATAGGGAAATCATGAAAATACTACTACATCCTGGCCAAGACTCAAAGCAGGTACTTAGGTACTTCCTTTTGTACAGGCATACTACTACTGCTGCTGCTGCTGCAGCCGCCACCACCACCACCACCATCATCATGACTACTATTTACTACTACTACTACTACTACTACTACTACTACTACACCAACCTGCTCAAAGTGCTAACATTCCGATTCTCACTCATGGACGCAAGCTGTGGTGGGGGCTAACTGGCATCTGGCCCCCTTTCCAATTTTTTTAAATCACAATTAAGTAACACAAAGAAATACTCCAGATATTAATAATAAAAGTTAAAAAGTATTTAAAATAATTTTTTATGGCCCACCTCCCACACCCAAAGAAAAAGTCCTGGTTGGTGCCCATGACCTCAGTCACTGAGATGGTCAATACTGAAAACTGACAGATCCACTCTCTGTACTTTAATTTCTGGGAGCATGGACAGGGAAGAAAGGTGGAGGGAAACTGCTAAAGAACATGCTCACAATTTTACCTCTTAGCATCCAGGATGCATGCTGCAGCCACTTGACATTCCATGATTGCAATGTGAACCACATGTCCTGTAAATGCTTCACTTGTGGCAATATTTTGAGTTTTGTGGTTCCTAGGTTTCCCGAAATAAGGTACTGAACTGGTACACTGAGTAGCAGTATACACAGCTGAACTCTCTCACGTCTCCACGGCATAACAGCTGCTGTGTAGCAAACATCAGTTTTTGGTCTGAAGCACAAATGAGAATGTGTAATCATACAATGTCATATAAAGAGCTAACAAAGAATTCATGAAATATGAATGAGAACAGTCTGTTCTATATCCACATAATCAGTGCGACAAATGACCAAGCATTATTCTTATATTTCATATACACACTACTCAATGCGGTAGTGTAGTTGGTTGAGGCACTATGCTACAAGCCGGAAGGTTGCAGGTTCATCCCGTTGAGGGCATTGGATTTTTTTTCAATTGACCTAATACTTCCAGCCGCACTATGGCCATGGGGTCGAATCAGCCTCTAACAGAAATGAGTACCAGGAATTAATTAAATAATTTTCCTGGGGAGTAAAGCGTGGCCGGTGTGTAAGACTGACAACTTTACCGCCATCTTTGAGCCGATTGTCTAGATAATGTGGGACCCTCAAAGTCTCACAACCCTATGGGCCTTCACGGCCTCTTACATGGATGGCTTAAATTTTTTTTTACTATATCCGGAGGCTGTATCACCAAATATGGATTCTAGTGACTAGGCTATACAGTGGTCAATCATGGAATTAGGGTTTGATTTCCACCAAACAAAACAGATTTCTCTCTTCTCCATGGAATGAAGACCAGCTCTAAGGCTAACCCAGCCTCCTATACAATGGCCACTAGGGGCTGTTTATGTCTAGGTAAAGCAGCAAGGGCATGAAGCTGACCATTCACATACATCTAGTGCCAAGGTTAGGAACGGGGCAGCTAAACCTCAAATCCTCCACATCTTCATGCTGTGGTGCTTAACTAAACACCTTTTTTATGGTAAGATATGGCAAGACAGGGAAACATGTGCTATGAGTTTCTTACTCAGAAAGCCTGAAATGCTTTTGAAGTTAGCTTTGCAATATGCTATTAGGTTGGTTAAAGAAAACCAGGAGGAACTTAAACTGAATGTAACACATCCACTTCTGCTCTCTGCACATAAGGCTAAATTATTAGGCAAAAAATAAATACCAGGAAGACAAACATGGTAGTACATTTGTGCGATGGTAACCACTTTATTTTCACTTATGGCACTTATATTATGAATTAGTGTGGAGGTGGAAGTAATCACAGACAGAACTAATTATATTTTGATGATTCACCACCAGAATGCAGGGTAAAATAATGACTCAATACTCGATAAACACCTTGTGATACACGCAAGCAACAACAGGATGAATGTTCATAGCTCACTGCTAGGCAACAGTAAGCACGCCAATGGACTGGTAGGATAGCTATCACATGACTTGTTTTCTGTGCTGTCTGTGCTGCTGCTATGTAATATAAGTCCACCTGCAGCCACTTGTGGCCTATTGCGAAACTGCTTATGAAAAGGGATGGACCAAAGGCACCAACCACTGTTCGTGGACCTTTAGGAATAACATATCACCCTGATGAGAAAGCCAACATGATAGCAGATTGTTTAGAAAACCAGTTCACATCTCTTGACCCATGTGACGAAAGCCATGAGCGACAGGTAGAGACTACAGTCAAAGCTCTCCTTGCATCTGCAGAAGGCACTCTGTTGGGGAAAGTATGACCTTGTGACATACATAAATTAACAAATACATTAAAATTGTGAAAGGCTTGTGGGCTTGATGGTATTCCAAATGAATGCCTTAGGCATCTTCCAAGAAGACGACTGGTACATCTGACACATTTAATTAATCACTGCCTTCGGCTGTCCCATTTTCCAAAGCCTTGGAAGGAAGCAAAGGTTATAACGTTACCAAAACCCGGTAAGGACCCAAAATTTCCTCAAAATTTCCGCCCGATTAGCCTCTTGTCTACAACAGGCAAGATATTTGAAAAAGTTATTCTGAAAATAGTCGAAAGGCACATTGAAGAAAAATGCCTGATTAATGCAAGCCAGTTTGTTTTTCCATGCCCGTCATAGCACGACACTTCAAGGTATGAGGCTTACAGACTACGTGACCTTAAATTTCAACAATAACATGTCTACAGCTGCTGTATTCTTGGATATTGAAAAAGCCTTTGATAAAGCATGGCACACTGGCTTGCCATATAAATTATCTACATTAAAATTTTCGATAAGTCTAATCAAGCTTATTAGCGCTTTCCTTTCTCAGAGAAATTTCAGACTTTCAGTTGAAGGTGAAAAGTCTACACCAAGGGATATACAAGCAGGAGTGCCACAAGGTTCTGTTCTCTCCCCCACACTGTACAGTCTATATATAAATGATACGCCGCAAACACCTGGTGTCTATCTAGGTCTCTTTACTGACGACACCTGTATATATGTGACAGACCGCAAAGAGGGTTATGTTCTCAGAAAGCTGCAGTGAGGTCTCAGTGTTATTGAGATGCAGTGTGATCGCAGGAACATAAAAATAAATTAAGTTAAAACTCAGGCGATCTACTCCTCTCACAGACGTAGGCCCCCTCAGACTCATCTCACATTGACTGGGCAGAATATCCCCTTCGTCAATCATGTAAAATACGTGGGCGTAATCTTCGATAAGAGGATTACGTGGAGACTTCACATAGAAATGACTGCAGCCAAGGCCTTCAGAACATTTATTAGAATTTAGTCCCTATTCAAAAGTGAGCATTTAAACCCAAACATTAAACTATCCTTCTATAAGGAACTGATCAGATCAGTAATGACTTAGGCTTGTCCCACCTGGGAATTAGTGGCAGACACCTACCTCCTAAAATTGCAGCGCATGGACATTTTCCAAGGTGCACATCAGTCTGCAACTTGCACACGGCTTTCAACTTTCTGTATGTATACGATTATATAACAAAATTGTGCAGATGACAAGCAGAAGTCATACAAAATCATGATAATGAACACTGTTCGCAGTATAGGACAAGGTGAAGACAGACACAGAAAATATAGGAGGCTTAAACTTGGCGGTGGTCAAGCTTATGACCATTCAAATGCCTAAGTTTTCATTGCACGAAGGGCGTTTTGTATACAATGCCGCCTATTTTTGTGTTAATATGTAACATCTGAGCTGGATGTTGGTGTTGTAGTAAAGGTTGAACCTTCCTGCCAATGTACTGTTAGTTTGGTTGTCATGCGACAGATAGTGACAGCAGAGCAGTCTACCAAAATGGCGTCTGACATAGAAGTGTGTACGAAACAGAGATGTGTTATTGACTTTCTCACTGCCAAACAAATTGCACCCACTGACACTTGTTAAAGGTGTAGAGATGATACAGTGGATGTCAGCACAGTCAGGCAGTGGGTAGTGGTTTTCAACATTGGCGAAAGTGAAGTGCACGACAAGCCATGCCCTGGGCGTCCTTGCTCAGCTGTCACTCCTCACAATGAACAGTACCTCGATCCTGGAGAGACTGTCAATTCTGAATGCTAAAAGACGACGGTGACTAAGCTGAAAGCCCGTATTTCCCAAGTTAGGCCAGAGAAGCAGATAACCTTTCGCTTGCAACACGATAATGCTAGACTCCATACCAGTTTGGGAACCACTACGCACATTGCAAAGTTTGGCTGGCCTGTCCTAGCACATCCACCTTATAGCCCTGATTTAGCACATTCAGACTTCCATCTCTTTGAGCCTATGAAAGATGGACTAGGTGGGCAACATTTTCCAGACGATGCTCTTATTCCAGCTGTAAGAAAGTGGCTAGCCTCTGCTGGTGCAGACTTTTATGGGCGTGGCATACAGGCTCTTGTTCACTGCTGGCAAAAGTGCATAACGGATGGTGGTGATTATGTGGAAAAATAACTATAAGTAGCTGAAATCTTGCTCTATTTAACTGCGTTATTATGCTTTCTGCATCTGTTGTAGTTTTCATTAAAAAAATGGGAGGCATTATATATGGAACACTTCTCGTAGCATAAGATCTGTAAGTTAGGCATGATCTGCTCTGTAAAGCATGTACTGACAGAGGACTTGTGTGTAAAGCAAAAGGAATAGTTTTTGTTCCATGGTAGTAACTTTTCTGGATTCCAAATATGTGCCAATATATGTGAGAAATATACACTTGATGAAAGGTTGAGTGTATTCATAAGAGACAGACCCATCTTCTCGTCAGAGAGGATGTTACATAAGGACTATTACCCCAAGAGTTCAGTTGGAAAAAAAAATCTCTGGTCATGGGTCTCAAGGGGCCTGATGCCAAGATGAACTGATTGGCGGTAAACCGCCAGTCATAAAGTTACTCTGACTCTGGCTAAAAAGAGTCCAGCAGGGTTCAGCAGTTGAGAGTACAAGTATGAGAATGGAGTGTGTACTTAATGAACTGTGTAGAATAGCTGAGTACAGATTAGGACAGAGGAGTACACAGTGACTGAATACAAAATAACAAGAAGACTTCATAGTGATTTGAAGTGCTAGTTTCTGTGTTGAGATCCATTGCCAGGAGATGACTAGGGAAGATGGAGAATCCTAGTGCATATGCAATGGTGAAGTGTAAATTGTGTAAGTCAGCGATAGCGCTGTATTAATTGTAATTAAGAGAGATTGTAAACAAAGTGCCAATAAATCCAAACATCTCATTGAGAACCCATTATTTTTGTCACGTGTATCTCCTACTTGTGATAATAATATAAAGGCAGCTAATAAATCCTGTGAAAATGTGCCAAAATTAAAATATTTTACATTATATTTTAGCATCCCGTAGCATGGATAATAAGGATAAAAATATTTTGAATGACAATCAAAATTATATTCACAACACTAGATTAAATTTTGGGAATGCCTGCTACCATTCAATTCAAAGTCTTTTTTCTTTCCATCTGCTATCCAAAAATGTAAAGATTAAAACATACAGAACTATAATTCTACCTGGAGTTTTGTATGGGTGTGAAATTTAGTCTTTCACATTACTGGAAGAGCAAAGTTTAACAATGTTTGAGCAGAGAGTGCTAAGGAAATGATAGGAGATGCCTGAAACCTGGAGAAAACTGCATGATGGGGAGTTTCACAATTCTTCCCATCACTGGACATTATTAAGTCATCAGCTCAAGGGGGTAAGGTGTGTAGGAGAAAAATTCT